GATCTCTCCCTTACTAACTAAACCCCTTTTGAGCGTGTGGGTCATGTCTTAGGTATGCGTGTTGCCCCAGTGCCTAGCACAGTGCCTGGTACAGACTGGCTGCTCAGTGATGTACCATACCGGGGGCGGGGGGGCGTCAAAGGCCTGAGATTCCTGTCCCTCCATTTGGTAAGTTTCCCGTCCTCCCCCTATACACCCAAGGAGCTGCCCCTGCTATCTCTCAGCCTTTTTTGTCGCCCCCGGTTTGAGCTGTATCAGAGTCCTTTTAGAAGAAGGCTCAGTACGTTCCTCCCCACCTCACTCAGACCTGAGATGCTCCAGTCAAGGTTTGACCCCTTCCCAGTCCCCGAGCCCCCAACCACAGTCTGCACACCCAAGCTGGTGAGTGGGGTGAGCTGGGATGGGAGCACTGGCTCAGTTTATAGTTTCATAGTTGCTGAATGAAAAAAAAACAAAAAACACACCTTCATTCCCCAGTGGAGAAACCCCTCCTCTCGTGGCCCCAACACCCAGCCCTCCTTGGAGAATAGAGATTCTTCTCCCGGGAATTTTGCTTATTTACAGACTTGCCTGCCAGAAACTGAGCCAGTCTGGCCACTCCCCTTGCTAAGGGGCTGGCCGGGTACAGGAGGCAGCCGGGCTGGCTGCTGATGGCTGGGAAGCAGGCCCTGTCTTATCCCTATCTTAAACGGCCACTGGTTTAAGAAGTGTGCTTGGGCCTCAGGGCCTCACACTGCCTCATGGGGGAGCCCCAGCCCGCTTGGCTTCTCCAAACTTCCCTGTGCGAGAGAATCCAGACGGGCCCAGAGAACTCCTTCTACCCTGAAGTGCCTGCTTGCAGGCTCTAGGGTGCCTTCAGCACCGGGGGCTTCAGCTAGGAAGGTGGAGTGGGAGGGGAGCTACCCTGGGGGGCCATCGCTAGCCTACTTGGAGAAATGCCCCTGCCTGAGACTCCAGCTGGTGGCTGCTCAAGAGTCATGGGCTTTTGGAAATAAACGGGTGCTTCTTGCCCCTGGAGCCTTACCCCTTTTTGTGTTGATGCCCTGGGAGAACCGTGGGATTTGCCCAAGATCACCCTGCAGTACGGTCAGGATTAGGACCCAGATGGGCCGGCCCTGAGCCATTCTCACTCCTGACTCAGGAATGGTTGCAATCCATGGGGCAAACTAGTTTGTGCTGGGGGCACCAGTGAAAAGGTTGAACGGTAAGTGAGAGCCCGGGTTTGGCAGGTGTACTCTGTTTCCCTCCTTCCTTCGGATACAGGGGCCAGGGACAGCACGTCCCCCGGGGCCAGCTTGAAGAACAGTGGGGCTGCAGTCACTCCACCATTCCCACTCTTCACCACCAAGTCCCAGATCGCCAGGGCCTTCCCCTCGGCACCAACTCATGGATACTTCCTGGATGGCCAGCCAGATGTCACAAACCCCTTTCCCCCAAACCCGTGTCTTCTCCCAGACTCCTCATCCAGGTTGATGGCAGCATCACTTACCTGGGTACCAAGCTGGCCACCTGAGGGTTAGTCCTTGATCTGCAGTGCCACATGCGATCAAAGCCCAGGTCATGGCCCCTCTACCCTCTTTCCAGCCCCCTCAGGTCCAGAGCGGCTCCCCTGGGGGCCGCTCCATGGGGAGATAGGGGGCGTGCCGTGGTGCTGTGGCTAGGAGTGGGGTTCCAGAATCAATGGACCTGGGTTTGAGGCCTGTGATAGATACCATTGACTCACTATGTGACCTTGGGTAAGCTATTTCACTTCCCTGAGACTCAGTTTCCTTTCTGTGAAATAGGAGTAATAACAGTACCTCCTTCCTAGGGCGGTTGACAATGTCACTGGCATGGTCAGTATATGGTGCTTTGTGTAGGGCCTCTTCAGGTAGTGGGGCCTGATAAACATTACCTGCTGGTATGAGTTCATCCCCATCTCTCGCGCACACCAGGGCCGTAGCCTCCTTCCCCTACCCCCACCGCCGCCTAATCCATCCACCACCTTGTTCCCGGGGACATTGAAAATGCAAACAGGATCATCCAGCTTCTTGGCTTACCATGTCTCTGGGGCTCTCCTGGTCCAGCAGAGAATGACACGGTAGCCCTTCCGGAATTGATCTTCTCTACCTACCTCTAACCCTGTGTTCCAACTCTACGCCCTGCACACATGCTCCATGCTCCAGCCTTGGCCGCTTCCTTCAGGACCCCAATTTTTGGTGCCTGGTGTCTTTTCCCTTGTTCACCATCTGCCTCTAAGTTTTTATGCCTCGACTTCAACTCCTGTTTTTACCAAAAGAACTCCTTTTCATCTCACAAAACCCAGATCGGGCCTTCTTATCTATGATGTCCTCCAAGCACCCCGTTCCCCTGATTATTTCCCCCACTTACCTGGTAATACCTGTGGGTTGTATTTTTTCCCCTCTGTGATACCCTTCTTCATCTTTGTACCCCAGCATCCAGCACAGGTCTGACCCATAGTGCGTGCTCCAGAGATTTTTGTTGAGTGAACAAAACCAGCCGACTTCTCCCAATGGTTCGAAATGTGTCAGCAAGACTCCGGGACGCCTCTGTCTTTCCTCAAGTCCCCTGCTGTCCATGTTTCCTAGATATGGAGAGGAGTATACACATACGCCACACGTGTGTGTGTGCGCGCACACACACACACTCTAGTTCTCTCTCTGGCCTTTAGCCTCTAGATCTGTGCTACCTGTTGGGCTAACCCCTAACCACACGTAGCTCTTGAGCACTTAAAATGTGGCTCCTCTGAACTGACATGTGTTGTAAGTGTAAGATATACCCTGAATTCTGAAGACTTGCTTGCAAAAAAAAAGAATCTAAAATATCTTCTTAATAATTTTATATTGATTACTTGTTGAAATGTCAGTACTTTATATGTATTAGGTTAAATAAAATAGATTATTAAAATCAAGTTCACCTGTTTCTTTTGGCTCTTTTTAATGTGGTTACTGTAAAACGAAAATCACATTATGGGCTCACATGACCTTTCGGACCGCAGGGCTCCCGATGCTCAGGGAGCCGTAGGTCCCTTCTTTCTCCAGGAGGTGGCGATCCCTCCCTGCCTTTGACACCTTCGTTCCAGAAAGGTCTGGAAGGTTCCTGAGGAAACAGCCTGTGTCATATGTCAGATATTGAACCCCAAATAAGGACAGGGCTCCACTCAGCCATGCAGTGAAGCCAGCCTATTTACGCAAATGAGGCTTCAAAATAAATCCACAGGAAGTCAAGAAGCTAAATGCCATCCTTCTCAACAGAAGAATCAAGACCTAGTTGATAGCTACTCTGGGGGGGGGGGGGCGGGGCACATGCCCCACTTTCAATATGGTCTCTGTTTTCCAGGCGTTTATAAAGCCTGTTTGGGAGATGGGCATCAGTGGATACTGTGTGCACAGCCCGAGTCCACGTCCCAATCCCAGGGACCCTTCCCCCAGCTGCCCGGCACTGGCTGCCGAGCCTCACAGCTTTGGTACATTTCCAGGGATTGCCCTTGGCTGAAAGAAGGTGCCTCACCTCTCCAATGACTGTCCTTAAGGAGGAACAAAGCCTGGCCCTCTCACCTCCATTCAGGATACCTGGGAAGGGGCACCCCAGCTTCAGAGCTTCTGGGATCAGCTGAGGTCTCCACTGGAACTGGCTCTTTACAGTTTAACGTCCTCTGCCCACCTCTGCTGACCTTGCTCCCTGATGGCACTTCCAGTAAATGTCTTCATGCAGATCTGAGTCTTTAAGTCTATTTCCTGGGGAATCTGACCCATCACCATTGGTGCTAAGTGTGGTGTTAGGGAACAGACTCTAAATGGGATTCTAGAGCTGGATCACCTGCCTGTTAATGAGGATCCCCACCAGTAGTGGGAGGTGTAATATTCTGGGCCCTAGCACACTACACTGGTGCAATCATTACAACTTTTGTGGGCAGTGAACCAGTGGAAGGAACTGCGGTAGTGGTGAATAATCTCAGGTGTGTGGGAGAGCAATCGTTATAAGGACCATGGGACCTCATGACTATTGTTGGGGGCGGTCACACTGGAGAAAGACAGCGAAAAGCTGCGGGTGATGGGTCACCACTCAAAGGCTCAGTATAAAAGCCAGAGGGTCTCCTTGGCAGCATGTAATGAAACTTACCTCCTGAAGTCGGGGACCAGAGGAAAATAGAGTCAGGTTCTGGACTTAATAGGGGAAGCAGGGCCCTAAAAGAGGTTTGAATCCCCAACCTTCGTGAGTCAGCTATGTCAAGGGGAGGACCCTGATTGGGAAGAGGGGGAACTCTGAGACATCCGGGGAGATCTGGGTCACTGGACTCAAAAATCTCAAAGCGCCAGGTTCTCCTTGAGCCTTCTGGACCCTCACAGCTGTGGCCCCCTCCCATGTGGCCCTCTCGTGCCTGTGACAGGTTAGTGCTTTCTCCTTGCTGGAAGACAAAACTCTTCCTTGTGAGACAAGTGCCAACCCTCCCCCTGCCCCCACCCCAATGATCTATGCCATCTCCCCTCTTTGCCCCAGATCAATAGCTGGGTCTAAATCACAACTTAACTCGGCTGGTAGTGCATGCTGGGCCACCGAAAGGGAGAAAAAGGCTGTATCGGGAAGGGACTGCCGGTCCTGGCCAACGGTGCCGACAGGAGCTGGGAGAATGTGGGACTGGAGTCAAGGATACTGGGTCGAGAGAGGCAGAACATTAAGTTGGGCAAGAGTGTTGTTCTGGGAACACTCTTCCCCGCCACAGGATTTATCACCCTGGCAAGGCCCCCGGAAGTTGGTGCTAGCATTCTGCTAGGGCAGCTCTTTGCAGCTTGGCGAGAGTGATCCAGAGCACCCACCCCTTGGCTGGCAGGATTGCCCTCTGCTCAGGAAGCTGCCTCACCAAGGTCAACGCAGGGCAGAAGGGTCTGCCCCGTGCCTCAGGCTGGGTGTCTCTGAAGGGCTTCTTGGCTCCTGAGCTCTCACAAGAGGGGCTGAGGCCTCTGTGGCAACCACATCCACGTGACTGCCTTCTCCCTCTGCCCAAGGCTGCTTCCCCTGCTCCCTGGTGAACCTCCTGCACGCAGTCCTCCATCTCGCTCTCTGTTTCCTGGGGAACCTGCCTGTAAGAGACGAAGGTTGAAAAGGTAAATACAATTAGGCAAAATGTGCTCAGCGCCAGGTGTACAGGGCAGACCTTAGGTCCAGGGAGGGAGTTGAGAGAAGGAAACCACCCTCAAAACCACCACAAAATGCAACTAGTCGTGCAGACGCCCGTAACAGAGAGCTGCCTTCCCTGCCCGTTACGGCCTCCCAGTGGCTCTGTGTGGAAAGTTGGGGTCTCAGAAACATCATCAGAGTGTCTCTGGGCCCCGTCTCTCAGGGCGCCCACCTCTCAGTCTCCTCCAGGTGGACTCCCCTGGGCCCTGCAGTGGGAACCGGGCAGTTGTCACGCTGAGGGAAGGAGGAGAGAGAAGCAGGGGCTCCCGGAGGTCCTGGGCCCCGGGTGGATGCTCACCGCCATGCGGGGCCAGGCTCTGCAGTTTGTCAGAGTTGCTGCAGGCTGGGGGCCAGTGGCGGTGGCGGGGGAGTGGGGGAGGGAGGGAGAACATGGGGGCTGCCCCAGCCATGCCAAAGGGTCAGTGTATCTTTAACAGATGACCTCTGCTCTGTCACCATGAGGCTGCTCCCCCTCCGAAGAATGGACATCCCTTAGCTTCCCTGTGGCGACATGCAGCCCCTCAGAACGCTCTTCCTATACCGAGACCTCCGCTGTCTACTCGATCATGAGGACAGCCACCTCTGTGCCCGTCATCCTTGCTGCTTCGGATCGTTAGTGGGATAGGGGCTCGGCCGGCTCAGAGGTGAGGCTGTGCTGGGACAGGTGGGGAGTTAGGTAACACGGCCCTCTGGAGGGGATCTCTGTGTGCCTTGCACAACCTGGCTCCAAACTATCATAGAATGTTCTGGAGCCCTGAAGCAGGAGCCAAGCCACAGCCTGTGGTTTGCTTGGGACCAAAGAGCCTTGTGGGAGAGAACTGGAGCCCAGCCCACAGCTGTCATTCAGTGGTGCGTGGACCTGTCTGGTGGACTGGGAGGCCAGGATGGAGGGAGTGAGGGTAGAACTCCTAAGGGGAGCGGTGCTGGGAGAAGAAGTGTGGTATGGAGGCCAATGGGCAGACTCAGAGCTGGGGAGCAGTGGTTATTACAGGACCCTTTCCAGGGAGCTGGTGCTGGAAGGAGAAGACTGGCATAAAGAGCAAAACTGTATCAATAGGGGGCCTGACAAAAAGCACCCCGAGCCAATGGTCCCCACGCGGGACAGTGGGTTACACTGACTCTCTATCAGATACACAGCTCACCTCTGGTTCTGCTGTGGGAGCGTCTGCAATGTCCCCTGTGATGCCTCTCAGATAGATGGTACTCTTCTCTGCCCCCCTGAGCCTGGCAGAGCCTCAGAACCTGCCCATGGGGATGGTGTTCCAAGGGCCACACGGGGCACTGGTGCTCGAAGATGAGTCTGTGCCTCTGAGGGAAGTCCATTTCTCTCCAGGGGCCCCTGGTGGGACCCATATTGTTCCAACCTCATCTTGGCAGAGTCTTCATGTCATTGGCAGGAGTTCCAGCCCGGGGGGTGGG